CAGTGAGATGGATTGACACAGTGGCTGTGCCGATGGGCTCAAGTATAGCAAGGATCATGGAGCTGGCTTAGGACTGGGCGGTGTTACATTCTGCTGTGCATAGGGTTGCTATGAGTCAGGCATGACTCAATGGCACCTAACAACAACAGTCTTCAGTATTGATTTTACCTCACCGTAAGACAAAAATCCACACAACTGGACCAATAAGCAACATCATGATAAACAGAGAAAATAATGAAGTTGTCAAAGATTTCATCTTTCTTGGATCTACTATCAGCAACCTGCCCATGCAAGTAGCAGTCCAGAAATCAAATGTCATGTTGCATTTGGCAAATCTGCTTGAAAAGACCTCTTTAAATTGTTTTTTTTTTAAAAAAAAAAAAAAAAAGGCAAACTGAAATATGAGAAAGACTGACCTCACTACAAGTCATGTGAGGAGATTTAAGGATTTTAAGGAGTTTCACCTGGGAAAAAGAAAAGTGATAGAAGGTATTGGGAAGACAGTCCTGCACATCTGGTGGCATAATGCCTAAGGCATTTGACTGCTAACCAGAAGGCTGGCAGTTCAAACCCACCAGCCACTCCTCGGAAGAAAGGTTGGACAATCTACTTCCATAGTGATACCGCCTCGCAAACCCAAGCGGTCGCTATGAGTTGGATTCAACTTGACACAATGAGTTTAGATGATGTGAAAGAGGAATTTGACATGTGTTCTGCAACTTTAGAAAGTAACCTCTGGTTACCCACTTAACCTCTCTAGGTCTTAGTTGCCTCATTTGTAAAATAAGAGTTTGGGCTTTTTCCCAAAGGTCTCCCTTAGTGCTGAAGTCCTATGACTAAAAAGGACCAGTGAGTGGGTGTCACTGGGAGGCAGGCCTTGAAGAGTCAGCTTCCTGTTTAAGAATGGAATGTTCTAAGGCTGCAGTTTCCACAAGAAATATAATATGAGCCATGCAAGTAATTTTTAATTTTCTAGAAGCTACATTTTAAAGACAAACACTCCCTACCCACTGCTATCCAGTCCATCCTGACTTAAAGCTACCCTGTAGGACAGAGCAGAATGTCATGGGGTTTCCAACTCTTTAAATCTTTATGGAAGCAGACTGCCACATCTTTCTCCCACAGAGCAGCTGGTGGGTTCAAACTGCCATCCTTTTGGTTGGCAGCCAAGTGCTTTAACTACTGTATCACTAAAGGTCCTTAAAAAGAAATAGGTGAAATTAATTTTAATAATGTATTTTAACCTAATATATTTAAAATACTATCATTTCAATATGTAATCAATGTAAATTATTATGAGATTTTTTTATACTAGGTTTTTGAAATTCAGTGTATATTTTACACTCCCAGCACATCTCAATTCGGACTAGCCACAATTCAAGTGCTCAGTTGCTACCTGTGACCAGTGACTACCATATTGGGCGGCACAGAATGCCCTTGTGCATGCTCAGCATGTGTCTTACTCCAGCTAAAGGCTTTCTATGTATCTTTTCATTTAATCTTAGTATCAGTCCTCTGATCCTCTGAGAGGGTCTCATTTTATAAATGAAAAAAGAAAAAAAAATCTGATAGGGATTCTAGAATTTGCTGAAGGCTGGTAAGGAGCCCAGGTGCAGCCTTATATCTGTCTGACCCCAACACCCTTAATAATTAGGTACACTGCAGGGTGAGGTAATGAGTTCCCTATCATGAGAGCGATGGTTACTTATACACTAGCCACACTCGCTCGTCACTTATCAACAAGATTAGGTTCCAAAGACCAAGTCATTATACAGAAATCAACATTATGCAAAACTTCAGCTACCAAATACTCCTCAGACTCCAGGAGTCATTTTGGAGGATTTCAGAGGCGCCTTGTGGGGCTGTTCCCTCCCCTGCTTGTTGTCTGCACTCTGTGCTTTAACTTCTGTACTTGTTTCTGGCAGACAGGCCCAGGTCAGCTTGTGCCATTCAAACCACAGGCAGCGCTGACTGGGCCAGGACTTGCATCCAGTAGAGGACCCGCCCTACCCTGCCTGACCCAAGGCAGAGTTCTTGTTTTCCATGGAAACTCCCACCCATCCACCTATAGCTGCTGCCCACTCTTCCCCACCCCCATGCTCCACCCACATTGTATCCTAGCACACAGGAAAGGCAAATCTTGGGAGTTTGCAGCAAAGTGACCAACCACCCATCTTTGCTCCTCTGTGCTGCAGACTTGAAGCCCAAAGCCTTAGCTCTGCCACAAGCCTACAGATGTGGCCAGAATTTGGTGAAGGCAAGCCTGTGTACAATTTAATGGGCCAAAGTCCCAGTATCTGACCTTTTCTCTCTCTGCCTTTCTCCCTCCCTCCCTCCCTCCCTCCCTCCCTCTCTCTCTCTCTCTCTCTCTCTCTCTCTCTCTCTCACTTTCTCTTAAGTTTATGCATATCCAAGACTAGAGAAGGGATGGGATGGGAGGGATCAAGGACTTGAGGTGCAGGAGGGAGGCACTCTCTCCTTCAAAAATGCATGGGTCCACCTGGCTTAAGGTAATTTAAATAGTGTTTGTTTGTTTGTTTGTTGTGATAAATGTGCAATGTCAGAGAACGAACTAGTCCATAAGTCAGGAGTAAGTGTATATAAGATGTCCAGGGTAGAAGTTTGGTGCAGAATTCCAAAGGCCTGACGTTAAATAGAATTTCCAAGAGAAGTAGGCTAGCTACATGGACAGTTTGTCCTCCAGCAACTTCTGAACAAATAAATATTCCTGTCCTTTGTGAGGCAAACTATAGTGACTCCAGTTGTTTGGTCATTAGACAGCTTTTCTAAAGAATATGAGCTAGAGGCTTCTTGGAAATATATAAATAGTTCCTAGGCTATGATTTCAAATAAAAAACAGTTACTGTGTTTACATTATTAAAATCATCCAAGCTGTTTATTTTTAACTCAATGTTCCTGTCTAATACATTGATAGTGGTGATTGGAGGAGGGAGTTGTGTGGGGTGGAAAGGATACATGGCTCTCTGAACCACAGCCGACTTGTCTCCTACATGTCTGTAATTAACTGTGTGCCCACCTTTGACTCCTGGTGGTGAACTTAGCTGTGCATTTCCAGACAGCCTGTACATCCCCAGTGATGAGGCTCTCAGGCCCAGACAAAATGGTTCTCCAAAGTCCAGGGGCAAAGGAACAAAGGAAGTTGTCTTGTGATCATTCTTGTCAAGCACACTTACAATATTAAAAACAAAAAACCAAACTTGCCACCATCAAGTCGATTCCAACTCGTAGCAACCCCCATTGGGTTTCCAAGGCTATAAATCTTTACATAAGAAGAGTGCCTCATCTTTCTTCTGCAGAGCAGCTGGTGGGTTCAAACTACTGACCTTTTAGTTAGGAACCAAATGCCTTAATGGTTATACCACCACAGCTCCTTTAGAATAAATAGGAAATGACAGAAAACATTTATAGATGATTTGTTGAATTTTTAGTCTATTTTCAGAAGTAACATATTTAGATTTAACTTTGAGGATATATTGTGTCATTTGGGAACAGATGACCTGACCCTGTGCTTCAAAACATGAAAAGTGTTTTGTTTTCATTTTCCATCTTCATTTTGGGTAAACATTTCCTGCTGTAGTGTAGGAAGACGTACATCATCTGGTGGTATCTCGTCACGCCTCTGAAAGAACTGAAGTCAGACAGTTATAGGGATATGATAACAGAGAAGCTTCAGGTGTCACGTAGACCTTTGTGCACTTTAATGTAGCTTCTGTCTATGTTCTGATGCTTTTGTTGGAAGGCAAGCAATTTCTGACAATACTATTCCCACTTTATGTAAAATGAGCAAACTTAACCACTTACCTTTTATGTTCAAATATTTTTTTTTAATTGTGAAAATAACGCCCCTAAACGGTCCAACTCGACGGCAAACAATAACAACAAACATCTACCAGTTCAACAATTTCTATATGCAAAATTCATTGACAAGGATTACATTCTTCATATTGAGCAACCATTACCACTATCCTTTTTCCAAATTATTCTACTGCTGTGAGCGTGAACTTAAGAATTCCCCCTTTCCTCCTCCCTCCCATTTCCGGTAACCACTCATAATCTTTGTTTTCTTTATGTTTACTTATCTCGTGTAAGTGAGATCATACAATATCTGTCCTTTGGTGACTTACTTCACCCCACATGACGTTTTCAAGGGACATTCATGTGGTGGCGTGCTAAAATCTTTTTCAAGAAGTGTTCCTGAAACACACAGCTCCTGTTAGAAAGAAGTGATCAGTTGCTAGGGTAAAGAATGGATGTAAAAGAACATTTGATTTTGGTGCTTGCTGAGGAGTTTTCTGGCTCTTAAATTCCTACTGAGCAGCTCCTGTATTCTCTACCACCCAAGGACAAGGCACCAACTCTAGTTAGTCCTTCAGTCAGTCCTGTGGTCAGTGAACACCCACCCTCCTACGTGCTATCAGCTAGCGGCAGCCCGAAGCCTCCACAGCTCCCACAGGACTTGTACTCCCACTACTCTGCAAACTGTTTCATGACTTTCTCAGAGCGGGAAAGGTGAAAGTCGATCTGGCTCCTCAAGGCTTACATTGGATTAAACAGGCTCAGAAGGTTAGATATGTCTAGAGGCAGGACAGGGGGATATTAGCTCTCATTTCTGCATCCTCTGTTGTAGGAGGCCCTTACGCCAGCACTTACCCCTCCTGCCCATTGGAAAGGAGGCTCGGTCTAAAAAGAAGGAAAAAAGTATTTAGATAAGCAATCTTCTGACATATTTGTGCCCATAGTAATGACAGTCTAATCCTACTGCCTCAAGCGTATAAAACCCAGACATTGATTAACAAGTGCTGCAAGCTTTGGGGAGCCGTAGGACAGACACGTTGAATTTCTACAAGGATGTTCTGTTTTAAGGGACTGTCTTTGAAGCTTCATTTTTGTATAGGTTTGTGCATTCCCTCAGGAGAGGCAGATGATTGTGCATCAAGGCTGCTCTCTGACGGTCTGTCCCTTTTTTTTTATTTTATAAGGACCAAAAAGCTGGTAATTGATGTGATCCGGAACCAGCCAGGGAGCATATTGACAGAAATTTTAGAGACACCAGCAACTCCACAACAGGTAACCTGAGTGCAAAATAATAAGTACAGTGGATATGAGTGGATTTAATAAATCTTCATGCCAAAGGTTTACTGTTATCTCAGGGAAACTTTATCTGATGGGGTTTAGAAGTGAGGAATTTTATCTATTATTCTGGCCCATTGAGTTCAGCCCTATCTAAAACCCCTGAGTAGCACCCAATGAAAATGAAACAGAAAATGCAGTGTGGAATTTATGCTGCCATTCCAGGAATTAGACCTGGGAAGACTATTAGGAGGATAATACTGGGTCCTTCAGAGCCTCATTCTGTTCATCATAGAGGTCATTTATCACACAAGGGACAGGCAGGTATGTTGGTTAAGAGAGTTTTAGTTGACAGGATGTGGAAAAATCCCCTTCATACTTCATGCCTTTACTAAAGAAATGTCTCAAACAGCTGTTTTCCAAATGCTTCATGAGCAAAAGTCTTGAATCCATTGGGTCAGAGCATCATTATGTTGGTGGAAATAACAGAGGTTTCATAACAATTTTGCATTAAACTTTTTATCAGCATGTTTAGAAATATATCCTTGTATAGTTTATTCTGAATTAAGTTAATTTCATTGTTATCATTTTAATACCAATCATTGTGACTCCCTAAAGAAAAGCTAACAAACTTATCTGATTAGTTACTTCTTAGCAGATACATATAATTTTCCTGGATCATTCTTAATTTAACTGGTTGCCAAGAAACCATTCTGTCACAGTTTCTAATAAAAAATAAAGTTTCATGTTATCTGATATTTGTTCATGTGTGAATATTTTTTAAACAATGAGAGTAGACTATCCTATTAATTTAGTATAAGAGACTTTTAGTCCTTAGTGAATATTGCATTTTCCCCCTCAAATGTAGCATAGTAACAAAGAACACAGATTGCCAGTTTCTGGTCTAACTCTGGACCTGCAAGCTGTGTAATTTTAGGTACTTGGAAATGTTTCTGTGCCTCAGTTTCCTCAACTGTAAAATGGGAATAATAATAATAACAGTAACTACAGGTAGGATTTAATTAGTTAAAACATGTTAAGTGGATAGAACAGTACCCAGTACATACTAGGTACTCAGTAATGTTGGGGACTGCTGCTATTATTGTTGTTTACTGCTGATCTCATAAATGGCCCCTGTTTCCATGATATTGACCTTTTCATTGTATGTCTAATATTACTGTGTCAAATAATAATTACATCCTTCTTGTTGTTGTTGTTGTTATGTGCCATCGAGTCGGACCTGACTCATAGTGACCCCTCCTTGGGTTTCCCAGGCAGTATCAGTACGGAAGTAGATTGCCCAACCTTCCTTCTGAGGAGTGGCTGGTGGGTTTGAACCGCCAGCCTTCTGGTTAGCAGTCAAGTGCCTTAGATTACATCCTTACACTTCATTAATTGGATTAGTCAAATGTCCAATACAATGAAATGGACAAATTATCAGTCTTCTTTTTGTTAGTGTTTTCTTGAACAAGTTATCCAGATCATATTCATTCATTCATTCATTTATCATGTAATTGAGAACTTACTACATCAGAATATTCTGATTCCCTTTGGCTCAAAGAAACCCTGTGAGTTTTTTGGCGATGATAATTTGAGAATGATGCGCTTATCAGAAATAGGTCTCTCACTGACTGACTGACTGTTGCACTGGCTTGTGAAGCACCATGAATATGGCTCAGGTGTGACAAGTTTAGTTCAATTCTGGATGTTCAGGGTTCTCGTAGCCACATTTTAACAGATAATCTAATTTTGGTTTCCTCAGCTGGAATATCCAGGAATTAAAGTCCATGCATCTAAGGGAATTACAAAATAGCTTTGTAACGGTTTGTCCACCTTAGCAGTAAATCAGCTATTTAGAATTTTACCCAAATTAAGCCTGCAATTGTTGCTGTGTTTCTCAAAAAGTTGATATAATTCCTTTCCAGAAACCTATTTTGAAACCCGTAAAGAATATTCTGGTTCTGGTCTTCGGGTTTAGGGTTGCTCACTTCTTTCATTTTGACATTAACTTGCCTCGTGTAGCTTCTGAATGGGTAAGATTAGGGGGTCAGAGAATAATCAACATCTTGACATTCCCTTTGCAGGAACTAGATCACACAAAAGACATGTTGAGCCGTGCCATTATAGATTCCAGAACGCCAGAAGAAATGAAGCATAGCCAGTTCATGATTGAAGACGCACAACTGCCTCTTGAGCAGAAGAAGAGGAAAATCCAGAGGAATCTCCGGACATTGGAACAGACTGGACACGTGTCATCCAAAAATAAATACCAAGATGTTCTCAATGAGATTGCCAAGGTTTTTGGAACAGTATTCTTTCTTCTTCATGTAGCACACACTTGCTCATCACCAGTCACATGTTGGGCATTCTGTGAGGTGACATAAGGGACTCAGATGTATACAGCTTGGTCCCTACCCTCTACAGTATTACAGATTTTTTTTTTTTTTTTTAATTTCTAAGTGGTTGATGACTTTTCATAGAGAATAATTACATCCCCGCAAATTATTAGAATTGAAGCATACCAGAAAAGAAATGCTCAGAAAATAGATGTGACAAGTTTGGTCTACACCTTTCCACAGTGCCTGCTAGCTTTCAAAATGACACCTTAAAAGAGTTCTCACATAAATTGTCAGTTGTCATATAGTCTGTGTGCTATTAGGACCTGCCATTGAGATAGTGATTCTGTGTCCCTGAGAATTTGTCTCTAAGCAATTTAGCATAAGTACAGTTTGGACTTAAAGATTAATTTCTGTTTTCTCATCCCATATTTTTACACTTGAGAAACTTCTGAGAAAAGGATCTCAAATTAGTGCAAGGACAAAGGAAACAGTACAGGAAGTGGCTGTGATCTGTTTGTTAAAGATAAGGAAGTATATATTTGGGATAAAAGGACTTTTCATCCTTTTTACCCAAATTTGAAAATTCATATGAGTCTAGAAGTTAAAGACAGTTTAAATGATCAGAAAAAAAGAAATATGCTCACTTCTGGGAGGGCACTGTATTCACCTTCATTCTTCCGTGGAAAATTATGGTCAATTCTGGCAGTAAGCTTATTCCTCCTACCCCAGACTGCTGAAAGGAAAAGGGCGTTTCTTTCTATAGCTTTGGGGTAGGAAATATTTCTTTAAAAAAAAAAAATGAGGTACACAAATTAATTCTTTTGCCTTTAAAAAAAGAAAAAGGCTATCATGAAGTCATCCATCAAAACTAGATCCTATTTCATAGAGATTTTGGTCACATAAATATATGTCTTTATAGATCTCCAGGGAAATGGATTTTGATTTACGCACCAAGGAAAAATATACTAGCCAGGCACCATTTTCTTAAATGAAATACTTCATTAAAAAAAAATAATCAGATGTCCGTAAATTTAAATGTGGCATAGCTCTTATTAGGCTGTAAGCAGTTTGGGCAACTTTATATTCTAGGGATTCTATTTAAATACAAGTAACAGTGTTCACTATTGAGTCTTTTCATTCTTGAGAGCCAGTTGTTACTTTTATAAAACCTGGAGAAATACTTGCAGATTATAAAAGGTTTTTTTGTTTTGTTTTTAACATATTTCTAAAATAAATACATTTTCAATTTAAAGGCATTCTTCAAAGTGAAATGCTCGAAGTATTCTACAGAAATTATATATTTCCTGATAGTTTTTTGTGCCTCTTTTTAAACACTACTTTCCTTGAACTAATTGTATGATCATTCTAAAATTATTTCTTAGCTTTTCCATCAAGAAAAAAGATAATAACCTTAGCAAGTCTCTTAAAACGAAATACGGACATTTTTCTGTTCTGAAGTAAGAAAAGATGAGAACACTTCGGTGTTGAGAGATTAAGGTGAATGAGATAAACTACTAGTTAACAGTCACAACTAGTTGCTCTCTACTTGGTGTACTTCTTGCCCAAAATTGTCAATGTTGTAAAGGGAATTTCTGCCTAAATCTCATGTGATAGCTTTTACTTGTCGTTTTAGGATATTCGGAATCAAAGAATCTATCGCAAGCTTCGAAAAGCCGAATTGTCAAAACTTCAGCAAACCCTGAAAGCTCTGAATGAGAAGGCAGCATTCTATGCAGAACAAATTAATTATTATGACACCTACATAAAGACTTGCTTAGACAACTTGAATAGAAAGTAAGTTACAATTGTGTTTCTGTTTGCTTGTAATGTCCTAATTTATACAGACTATCGATTCTTCTATACTCCTAGACTTTTTAGTTGGGTTTGTAAGCACACTTTTTGCTTTATTTTATAATCTGAAATTAGAAGCTCTATTTTATTATCAGCCACTGTGAAATGAGAAGCCAGAAATGAACTTGGAAGCTTTTTGCTCACATCAGCAATGGAAGTAAAGTGGTTTCCTTACCCTTTTGTGTTTTTAGGCAAATAGCTTTAACACTTAGAGAAGCACTATAAACGCATCTCCATGCCCTGGTTTGAACCACCAACCTTCTGGTTAGTAGTCAAATGCCTTAGGCATTAAGCCACCAGAGCTCCTAGAGAAGCACTATAGTTATTCCTTTTATGTTGTTTGGTCAAGGATATTTTTAAATGCTGCTATGAAAAGTAAAAACTACTCTTGTTTTTGGAATATTTATAATAAATTTTTTATATGCTTGATAGTATTAGGTAAGGCCAGATGTTTGCTAATTGTACAGAGAAGCTTGTGGTTTAATATTGCTTAAACCCAAAACACAGTGCTATCAAGTCAATTCCAACTCACAGCAACACTACAGAGCAGAGTAGAACTGACCCATAGGGTTTCCAAGGCTGTAAGTCTTTATGGACACAGACTGCCACATCTTTCTCCTGTGGAACAGCTGGTGAGTTCGAACAACCAACCTTTTAGTTAGCAGCCAAGTGTTTTTAACCACTGAGCCATCAGGGCTCCTTTTAAATTGCTCGGTGATTATAAAAAAATTGTTATTAGGGTAAATATTGTATGATCCCATTAAAATGAAATATCTAAAACAGGCAAATGCATAAAGACACAAAGTCAGTAGGAAGGAGGAGGAATGGGAGTTCTTGCTTAATGGGTACAGAGTTTCTGTTCAGAGTGATAAAAACGCCTAGGGAATAAAGAACACTGATGGTTGTACAACATTGTGAATGTAACACCACTACCTTTTGTACTTAAAACTGGTTTAAATGAGAAGTTTCATTACATATGCTTTATCACAGTAAAATTTTAAAAAATAATATGGAAAAAATCATTGTTGACACAAAAGGCAGAATTTGGCATATAAATTATAACATTACATACACAATTTTAATGAGAGTTCTTTGCTCATAATTATTATCACCAGACTAGAGTCAATATGTAATCAAAATTTAATTATCTATTTAAATATGTAATACATTTTCAAATAATATTTGTAGTCAGTTTGGCCTTAGGAAATGATGCTGTATGAAAAAATCAATTGAATTAATCACAGAAGTTTGGTGAAGGAAAATAATCAAATTTAAGCCTCATTTATTTGTGTCCCACTAGTTCTGAATTTGTATTCTCTCATTCAGGGCCTGTAATTTATCTTTATACGATAGATATGTGTTGCAGTAAAGCTAATTTTCAGTAAAAATAAATGTATTAGGGGTTTGTATCATTTATCTATTACAACTCCTTTGACACATTTTATACAAGCTCTGAAATGAGGTGATCTAGATTTGAGTTCTGATTCTTTCTCATCTTTGAGGTGAGAATTGAGGTACCAGCCTCACAAGTATGATTGTTGTTGTTGTTGTTGTTGTTGTTGTTGTTGTTGTTATGTGCCATCAAGTAGCAATCCCTCCTTGGGTTTCCAAGGCAGTATCACTATGGAAGTAGATTGCCCCATCTTCCTTCTGAGGAGTGGCTAGTGGGTTTGAACCGCCAGCCTTCTGGTTAGCAGTCAAGCATCTTTGGCACTATGCTACCAGAGCTCCTAAGTAGTTCAATAGTGAGCTTTTATTGCATAGGGAAAATTGTCAGTTACTATCAGAAAATAAGGGAGCTCTGGTAGCATAGTGCCTGCGACACTTGACTGCTAACCAGAGGGCTGGCGGTTCAAATCCACCAGCCACTCCTTAGAAGGAAGGTTGGGCAATCTACTTCCATAGTGATACTGCCTCGGCAACCCAAGGAGGGGTCACTATGAGTCGTGTCCAACTCAACAGCACATAACAACAACAACATCAGAAAATACCAAGTTGCATGCCCCATGCAATGGGACCAGGTATAAACAGTGTTATCCCCTTTGGGCATGGGTAGCTACTAGCAGAAGCAGCTGAGTTTGCCACCATGATGACCAGTGGTTTGTTCTTACTTTGTCAGAAATACTCGGAGATCAATTAAACTCGATGGAAAAGGAGAACCCAAAGGGCCAAAGAGAGCAAAGCTTGTGAAGTACACTGCAGCAAGGCTGCATGAGAAGGGTGTCCTGTTGGGGATAGATGATCTCCAAACCAACCAGTGAGTAGCACCTGGAGGCTGCACAAAACAAGCATATCCTCTAATCGGATCACAGAGTCTGGCTCACATAGTTTGGTTTCCCGTGGCCTTCACTTGGTCTATCAAAGCTTATCCTTGATTACAGATGACAGGGGAAAATACATGTATTGTAATCTCTAGTCTTTCCATCAGCCATTAGCATCTGGTGCTGTGAGTCGTGTGAAGTGCTGCTTAAATGACCATGTTCTCATGGCTGGTCTAATGTGTTCGACTATGGGAGCCTCTCATTTTCCTTGTAAATGAACTGAGTCATAGCAGTTAGAGTGAAAGGGTGTCTTTCAGACTTGGTAGATGAGAGTTATCTACAATTGTAAAACAAGGCCTTTGTACTTTCAAAACCACAGACTTAATGTGCCAGCCCTTGAGACAGTGCCCAGTTAGTGTGTGTATTTGGTGTGGAGGAGGAACCAGAAACCCTGCTTCACAGCCCCAGACCAGGAACTGAGGGCTTGCCATTTTAAGGGGATCATGAACCCCTGACTGCATCACTTCCTTGTTCTTTGTCTTGACTGAAGCCACATTCACTGGCCTGTACCGCCTCTCGAAAGCCTACCTTCCCCTTGAGATGTGGCTTCTATTTCTCTCATGAAGTCTTCTGGGGTTGTTTTGTTTTTTTAAATATTATATTGCATTTTAGGTGAAAGTTTGACACCTACTCTTAACTACACCAACTAAGAGAAAACACTCTTCCTCTTCAAAGTTCCTATAAAAGTCATCATCTGAAATGCTCGGCTGGCCTGTGCACAGTTGTTGGGTTCTGTTGAGTTGATTTTTGACCCATAGCAACCCCCTAGGATTTTCTAGGCCATAATCTTTACAGAAGCAGATCACCAGGTCTTTCTCCCATAGGGCCACTTGGTGGGTTGAAACCACCAGCCTTTTTGTTTGCAGGCAAGTCCTTAACCATTGCACCAACAGGGCTCTTTCTGTGAGCAATAAAACCAAACCAAACCAAACTCACTGTTGTCAAATTGATCCAACTCATAGCAACCCTGGGTTTCCAAAGCAGTATCTCTACAGAAGTAGATTGTCCAATCTTCCCTCCAAGGAGTGGCTGGTGGGTTTGAACCGCTAGCCTTCTGGTTAGCAGTCAAATGCCTGAGGCACCACACCACCAGACCTCCTGTGTGAGCAATATAGGTCAATATATAATTCTCATGCTCTGTGACTATCCTGAATTTTCAACTCTGTTCTATACTCCCTAAGGAAACAGACTCTATCTTATATTTCTTTGTAATAAAGCACCTACTACAGTGTTCTGTGAGCTACAGATCTTCAACAATCACTGCCTAACATGGTGTTTGGGGGAGCACATTGAGATGGGATGAGAACACTTTGGTGTTGAGATATTAAAGTGAATGAGATAAACTACTAGTTAACAGTCACAACTAGTTGCTCTCTACTTGGTATTCTTCTTGCCCAAAATTGAAAATGGGGGGTAAAGATAATGGGAAGTTTTTTGTAATGTCCTTAGAATTTTCCCAAGAGATCATTCACTAAGAATGGTAATGTGGGATTCTGTTAATTTGGTTCCTGGTTTAAGCATATATTTATAATTTATAATGTTCCTTTCTTCATCAGGTTTAAAAATGTTACATTTGATATCATGTCTACTGAAGATGTGGGCATCTTTGACGTCAGAGCAAAATTCCTGGGTGTGGAAATGGAAAAGGTGCAGCTCAATATTCAGGTAAGCTGGGATTTCTGCAAATTGGAGGTGAATTGTATAGTGTTGGTCATTCCTGGCTCCCTTGGCTTGCACTCTTCATAACAGCAAGGACATTTAACAAAAGACCAATCCAAAATTTATTTTTCAATATTTGTTTTAATATTGATTTTTTTTTGAGCTGTGATTTTTCAGTTATTGGAATTTTAAAATACTTTAAAATAAATCTTAAACCCTAGCAGTTAATTTTTCAATGCCTTGTTTCATTTTAAAACTTACCCAAAAGAATAATATGTTAGCATTCAGAGTTATTAAATAAAGCTAGAAAATCCCCTTTTATTAGGAATTTGCATTTCTTTCTAAGACTGAGATTCCCAGGATTGGAGCTTTCTTGATCTTATTTCTGCTGTGTTACTTTCTCTCTTTCCTTTGTTCTATTTAGGATGATTCAGATATCATTTTCTTAAATCTGTGTACTAAATGGTTGAAATTATGAGACTGAAAGGCATTGTTCAAAATATATCTGTAAATAGAAAAATGCTATTTGCAATATGAGTTATTTCTGCTTTCTCATAAGAGCAAGATTCAATCCAAATTTATTTGAACAGATACTGAAAAATCCAGTTTATGTACCCCCTCAAAAAAAAGGAAAGTGCACACCAGATGTTTATGTTTATCCACCCCCAACTCCTGAATCCTCAGCCCAAGATCAACTGAGTTTTTTTCAAAAGGAAACCACCTATTTATCTGGGCCACTGAGGGCGGTGGTGCTTCAGTAGTAGAATTCTCTTCACTGCTTTTGACTACTAACCAGAAGGTCGGTGGTTCAAACCCACCAGCCACTCCCCGGAAGGAAGATTGGTCAATCTACATCTGTAGAGATACCGCCTCAGAAACCCAAGGAGGGGTTGCTATGAGTTGAATTGACTCAACGGCAGTGAACTTGGTTTTTGGTTTTTTTCCACAGGATTCCAATTGATCCTGAAGAGAGAGGCATGGGTGGCTTTCAGAGTGTTTGCAGATAGCTTCATCTCCTATGTCAGTAGCACCCTGTGAGGTTGGCATTGTAACCCTAATTTACACATAAGAAAGCAGAACTTCAGAGCTATTTTATGATTTGCAAGTTCATAAAATAGCAAATGACAGAGCAAAGTCAAGACTCTGGTCTTCCAGCTCTAAGTCCAGACATATTTTCTCTGCTCTTCAGCTTGGAAACTCTGCTAATTCCCCTATATAAACCATTCCTTCTCAACCTGGCCATATTGACTTAACTCTTTTTTCCAAGAGATTTTGGTTAACAGCTACTGCATTTTCCAGAAGAAAAGTGAGTGCCCACTACATTTTAATAGATGAAAGCATTCTTGACTAAAAGACTTCCCCATGGAATTCCAATTCTAGAAGCACATCTGAATGATGTAGGCATTTAGTTTAGTGTGAAGGAACCCTGGTGGTACAGTGGGTCAGTACTCAGCTGCTAAAAGATCAGTGGCTTGAACCTACCTAGTAGCTCCACAGGAGAAAGAAGCTGGTGATCAGCACCTGTAAAAATTACAGCCTGGGAAATTCAGTGGGCAGCTCTGCTCTGTCGCATGGGGTTGCCATGGTTCGGAATCAACTTGAGAGCACAGAACAGCAGCTCAGTGCAGTTGGAATTAATTGAGGAAATGGAGGAGGAAGCTGGCAAGAGCCAAAACTTGCTCAAAGAGCACTCCAACTTTTGTAAACGATCTTGCTTAATATAGACACCGGACATTATCATTAAGAAACAAGAAGTTTCCAGAAGAAAAGAAAATGAGAGATTTCTGACAAGATGGCAGAATAGGCAGAAAAGTTACACAGACCATTTTCAAGAAAGAAATGAGAAACCAATTGAAAGAGATACAAGAGATAATCCTGGAACCCTGAGATTTGACGGGAAGGATAAAGAAGTAGATTAAATACCAACTAGTAGCTCTGGTAGCATAGTGGCTAAGGCACTTGACTGCTAACCAGAAGGCTGGCAGTTCAAACCCACCAGCCACTCCTCGGAAGGAAGATGGGGCAATCTACTTCCGTAGTGATACTGCCTCGGAAACCCAAGGAGGGGTCGCTATGGGTTGGGTCCGACTCGATGGCACATAACAACAACAACAACGACAACAGTAGAACCTGAGTGAAAAAAAAGTATTTGGGGAAACCTCCTGTCATGGGTTATTGTGAAATGTTACTGCTTAGCCTCTTGCATATGGCTGATGTGACCCAGGTATTTGTTTTAGTAAGAGAGTTAATTTCCTTTGTTTATATGATGGCAATGAAAAATAGAAGTCAGATATACTGACTTGAAAATGGGGGCCTGATCTCAATACAGGGGCAGAAATATTCTACATCAGGAAAGAGTTGCTTTGTACAGTGGTCTACACCTTTCATCACACAACTTTATCAGTAAATAGCACAAGCACTTTTCCCCATATGTGTATACTTATTTAGGTGTATATGCTTCTACACTGGTACTATACCACACTCTTTATAAAATGTATTGTTGTTCTTAGGTGCCATCAAGTCAATTCTAACTCATGGTGAATCTGTATATAACAGAACAAAACGCTGCCTGGTCCTGCACCATCCTCACAATCAGTTATGTTTGAGTCCATTGTTGCAGCCACCATGTGAATCCATCTTTTTGAGGGTCTTGTTAAACACTTGTCTGCTAAGCAGTTTGAACCTACCAGCCACTCCACAGAAGAAAGATGTGGCAGTCTTGCTTCTGTAAAGATTTACAGCCTGGAAAACCCTATGGGGTAGTTTTACTCAGTCCTACAGGGTTACTTTGAGTTGGAATCAACTTGACGGCAAGGATTTGATTTGGTTTATAAAATATATGCCAAATGAAAATGTTTGAAAAATGAGAGAAAAAATATATAACTAGATGTTCCAGTCTAATCGTGGAGATAGTACAGCCAGAATGCTCCTTAGAAGCAAGAATGGCCAGACTTCATCTCACTTTGGTCACATTGTCAGAGGGACCAGTCCCAGAAGAAAGACATCATGCTTGGTAAAGTAGAGGGTCAGTGAAAAGGGGGAAGACCCTCAATGATATGAATTGACACAGGAGCTACAACAACAGCCTCAAACATAGAAAAGATTGTGAGAATGGCACAGGACTGGGAAGTACTTCGTTCTGTAGTCCATAGGGTTGTGATGAGTTGGAGCTGACTCAATGGCAACAAACAACATCAGGAGTTCTGGTATTTTTCTTGCTTCCCCAATGAATTATCTTGTTCATCTCACTTTAGAAAACACTACTGTTCTGAAGGATATAGCCTATCTAGCTGGAATATTTGCATTTTGAATTTTTCAACTAAAAATGGAAATTATAATTATATGCTTGATATCAACCAGTTGTCATTGAGAGATTCTGACTCCTGGTGACCCCCTTTTGATACTACCTTAGTGATACCTTTTTGATACTTACTTTCATACAATCTTTATCAAGTCTAAAAAGCTATTTTATTTCATCTGTTATTGTTGTTATGTGCCATAGAGTCAGGCCTGACTCATAATGACCCCTCCTTGGGTTTCTGAGGCGGTATCACTGTGGAAGTGGATTGCACAACCTTCCTTCTGAGGAGTGGCTGGTGGGTTTGAACTGCCAGCCTTCTAGTTCTGGTTAGCAGCCAAGTGCCTTAGGCACTACGCTACCAGAGCTTTATTTCATCTAGGTGAGTGATTCTCAGTGTGACACCCAGACCAACAGTATCACCTCCTGGAAACTTGTTTAAAATGCAAATTGGGGCCCATCCCAGAACTGCAAAATCAAATTCCTGGGAGTGGGGCCCAGCAATCTCTGTTTTAAATGGTGCCCATGACTTGGAATCATGGGGATGGCAATGGGTTTGATTTGGGTTTCTGGTGTTTTCAACTAGGTGATTCTGATGCACACTAAACTTTAAGAATCACCTGATCTAGGTCATTAAGGAGTTCTGGTGGTATAGTGGTTAAGACATTTGGCTGCTAACCAAAAGGTCAGTCGTTCTAACCCACCAGCTCCTCTGCAGAAGAACGATGAGGCTTCCCTAAAGATTCACAGCCTTGGAAACTCAATAGGGGTCCCTATGAGTTGGAATTGACTCAATGGCAGTGAGCTTAGGTTCTTTTTTTTATCAAGGGCGTTAGGGCAATTCAACCTTATTTTTGCCAACAAATAAAGTCTAACGTAACAAACGCAATGCACTGCTGTCGAGTTGGATCTGACTCATAGCAACCCCTCTTTGGGTTTCTGAGGTGGTATCACTACGGAAGTAGATTGCCCAACCTTCCTTCCGAGAAGTGGCTATTGGATTTGAACTACCAGCCTTCTGGTTAGCAGTCAAATGCCTTAGGCACTATGCCACCGTATGTTTTTAATATATGTAAAATGTCAAAGTTGAGATTTAATGATGTTCTTTACAATTGCAGGATTTACTTCAGATGCAGTATGAAGGAGTGGCTGTAATGAAAATGTTTGATAAGGTTAAAGTGAATGTAAACCTTCTTATTTACCTGCTGAACAAGAAATTCTATGGAAAGTGAAGTGCCTGCAGAAATATCATGGAGTCTGTATTACCTCGATTGGGAAAAGCATTTGTTTAATATTTTTGTTTTAAAACATGATTGAAATCATTGCTTATAAATGTGTGATTTTTTTAGAAGACCAAAATTGTTCTGAAGAATGTACCCATGTGCCTTTTTGATAATTTGATAACTACAGTAGAATGAGACACAAAATGAATTGATGTAAACATTCCACACTATACTGTGGTGTAGGTACTCTGATTTAAAACCTTGGACATTCTGTGATCTGTTTTGCCTTTGAAATAGGAAGAAAATAAATTTAGCTGACTAGGGACAAATGTGTAAACCTATTTTCCTGTGAAAGATTTTTAAATGTCCCACTTAAATAATGTAATTCTTCATAGATTTTTTTTCTATCTGTGGAGAAATGGAAACCTAATTATTTCTAATGAATTATTTAGACAGATACTTTGTTCTGTCTCCTGAGAGTTGTCAATTTTAAAGAGAACTTTTGTGCAATTCAAAGTGAGGTTTTAATAAATAATCGAAAATGACAATACGATAACACTTTCTGTATTAAAGTATATATTTTATGTGATTTATTCCTACTAAATGAAAGTGCACTACTGCCTCATGGAAGGACTCTTCTACCCAGAGCCTTTAAATAACTAAGAACAATGTGGACTACAGTCATAGCCCCACCTCTTCCCCTCACAAGTTATTTGAAACTTCAATTGTGCCTCTCAATTTTTTGTAATGCAATAAAATCAGTATCTAGATGGTTTTTAAATGTATTCTTTGGAAATTGTTTTATGTAAAATAAATGTTAATTACATTAATTTGGTTTTTATGTTGTCTTAATTTAAAAAAAAAAAGCACTTCACATCATAGGAAAAAACAGATTCAACATGAATTAAGGAACTAAATGTGCAAACCAAAACCAAAAAATTCTTAAAACAAGCAGGGACAACACTGTCAGGCCTAGCTTTCAACAATGGATTATCTAATATACTAATGAAAGCACAAACAACAAAAAATAAAATAAATAAAAATGTTTGCTTATCAAAGGATTTTCTAAAAAAAAAAAAAAGTGAAAAAAATAAGTTACTGACTAGGAGAATAGCCTGGGAAACCATATGGCCAAAAATCTAATAATCAAAATACATCTAAAACTTTGACAACAACAAAAAGACAACCCAATCATAAAATTGGCAAAGGACTTGAATAGATATTTCACCAAAGAAGATATTCCAATAGCCACCATACACATGAAAAAATGTTCAGCATCATTAGCCATCTGAGAGTTGCAAATCAAAACCACATTGAGTTACAATTTCACTCCCACTAGGATGGCTAAGATTTAAAAAAAAAAAAATAACAGCAACAAAGAAAGTGATAACACAATTCACAAAGCAAGCTCAGCACAAAAAATTATATGGAACAAAGAAATCGGCACCATGAAGAAGCACATAACAAAAATGACAGCAATGAATTCATATTTGTTGATACTAACATATCTGGCAAGGGACTTATCTCTGGATTTATAGAAAACTCCTACACCTCAACAGCAAAGGAATTAACAATCCAATTGAAAAATAGAAGGCATGAATAGATAACTTCACCATTGAGGATATTCAGGTGGCCAGCAAATACATGAAGAGACGCTCATGATCATTGACCATCGTTGTTATTAGGTGTCATCGAGTCGTTTCCGCTCATAGTGACCCTATGAACAGCAGAACGAAATACCAATCCTGTGCCAGCTCCATAATCCTTGCTATACTTGAGCCCATTGTCGCAGCCACTGTGTCAATCCATCTCATCAAAGGCCTTCACCTCTTTCATCGACCCTCCACCTTACCAAGCATAACATCCTTCTCAAGGAAATGGTCCCCTCTGACAACATGACGAAAGTAGGTGAGACAAAGTCTGGCCATTCTCACTTCCAAGGAGCATCTCGGCTGCACTTCCTCCAGGACAGATCTGTTAGTTCTTTTGGCAGTCCGTGTTACCTTCAGCATTCTTCGCCAGCACCACAACTCAAAAGCATCAACTCTTCTTCGGTCTTCCTTATTCATTGTCCAGCTCTCACATGCATATAAGGGGATTGGAAATATCATGGCCTGTGTCAGGCGCACCTTAGTCCTCAAGGAGACATCCTTGCTCCTCAGCACTTGAAATAGTTCCTTCACAGCTGAACTGCCCAGTGCTATATGTCATCTAATGTCCTGACTGCTGCTTCCATTGACATCGACTGTAGAACCAAGCAACGTGAATTCTTTGACAACTTCAATCTTTTCTCCATTTATCATGATGCTTGGCCATCAGGGAGATGCAAATCAAAACAACAATGAGATACCATCACCCCAGCACTGATGGCAAGGTTCAAAGAGACAGAAATAACAAATGCTGGTGGGGATGTGGAGAGATTGGGACTCTCATACACTGCTGGTGGGACTTTGAAGTGATACAACCACTGTGGAAAGCAATATGGTGATTCCTTAGAAATCTGGAATTGGAGATAACCATTTGGCCCAGCAATCCCATTACTAGGTATATATCCTAGAGAGGTGAGAGCCAGGACAGGAACAGATACATGCACACCCATGTTCATCATAGCACTATTTACAATAGCAAAAAGATTGAAACAACCTACATGCCCATCAATGGAATGCTATGCAACACTAAAGAATAATGTAGAGTCTGCAAAACACCGCATAACATGGAACTTGGAGAACATTAGGCTGAGTGAAGTAAGTCGATCACAGAAGGACAAATAATAGTATTAGTTCATTGTTGTGGAGGGTCAAGGAAAGGTTTATTATATATGGACGGAAACTTTCTTTGTTGGTTGCCAGGGGTGGAAGGGGAGGTGAGGGAACACTGAAAAAAAAAATGTGGCAAGAATATGTGGGAATTGGTACCCTTATCCATTGCTGGTGGAAAGCAAAATGGTACAGGCCCCGTGGAAAACTGGCAGTTTATATATATGTTCTGGTTACCTAGTGCTGCTCTGACAAGAATATATCACAAATGGGATGGCTTGAACAAACCGGAGTTCATTCTCTTACAGTTTGAAGGCTTTAAGTCAACTTCAAAGTACCAGGCTCTAGGGGCTGGGTGAAAGCCCCTCAACCTTGGGCTTCACCTCTGTCTCCTGCTCCTGGCCCACTGAAGCTGGAGTCTTTTCTTCACTCAGACAACTACTAGCTGCTGAGGCTGACAAGCCCAAGGTTGACAAGTAAAAAGGCACAGTCCTGATATTACCAAACCACAGTAGGCCATTAATTCAAGTCCATTAAAAGTCCCAAGATCGGCAGAGCATGGCAGGCTGCTGAATGACTCGGCTACATGCGGGGTTCAAGTGTGCCATAAGCTAGAGACCGTTTCCAAAGATGCTTCTCATATACAGGAAACAGACCATATCCCTAAGGCAGCAGCTACTCAGCTGCTCACATTGGATTCCACCATGGAGTTGATTACCAGTCTCATCATGGGGAATACTACCAATAACTGCCTACCCACTCAATCAGGCCCAGTCAAGTTGACACACAGCCTTAACTACCACAGTGCCATTGTGTTGGCCCCAACTCATAGCAACTCTGTGTGCAACAAAACAAAACACTGCCTGGTTCTGAACCAGCCTCACAATCCTTTCTATATGCCTGAGCCTATCATTGCAGCCACTGTGTCAATCCATCTCATTGAGGGCCTTCCCCTTTTTCGCTGACCCTCCACTTTACTAAGCATGATATCCTACTCCAGGGAATAGTGCAGTCTGACAACATGACCAAAGTAGGTGAAACAAACTCTGGTCATTCTCACTTCCAAGGAACATTCTGCCTGCACTTCTTCCAGGACAGATTTTTTGTTCTTCTGGCAGTCCATGGTATTTTCATATTCTTCACCAACACCACAACTCAAAAGCATCAACTCTTCTTCAGTCTTCTTTATTCATTGTCCAGCTCTCATATGTATATGAGGCATCTGAAAACACCATTGCTTGGGTCAGGCACACCTTAGTCTTCAAGGAGACATCTTTGTTCTTCAGCACTTGAAAGAGGTCTTTGGCAACAGATCTGCCCAGTGCAATACATCTTTTGATGTCTTGACTGCTGCTTCCATTGGTCTTGATTGTGGATCTAAGTAATACGAAATCTTTTACAACCTAAAAACTTTTCTTCAATTATCATTATGCTGCTTATTGGTCTACTTGGGAAGATTTTCATTTTCTTTATGTTGAGGTGTAATCCATATTTCAGACTATAAATTTTAATCTTCATAGTAAGTGCTTCAAGTCATCTTCACTTTCAGTAAGCAAGGTTGTGTCGTCTGCATATTGCAGGTTGTTAATAAGTCTCCCTCCAATCTTGATGCCATGTTCTTCTTCATATAGTCCAACATCTCAGATTATTTGCTCAGCATAGAAATTGAATAAGTATTGTGAAAGGATACAACCCTGACACACTCCCTTCCTGCTTTGAAACCATGCAGCATCTACTTGTTCTATTCCAATGACAGCCTCCTGATCTATGTACAGGTTCCTCATGAGCACAATTAAGTGTTCTGGAATTCCCATTTTTCTCAATGTGATCCATAATTTATGATCCACAGTTGAATGCTTTTGCATAGTCAATGAAACACAAGTAAACATCTTTCTGGTATTCCTTGCTTTCAGCCAATATCCATCTGACATCAGCATTGATATTCCATATTCTACATCTTCTGAATCCAACTTACATTTCTGGAAGTTCCCTGTCAATATACTGCTGCAACCACTTTTGAATTATCCTCAGCAAGACTTTACCTGCATATGATATTAATGATATTGTTTGATAATTTCCATATTTTGTTGGATCACTTTTCTTTGGCATGGGTACAAATATGGATCTCTTCCAGTCAGTTGGCCAGGTAACTGTCTTCCAAATTTCTTGGCATAGATCAGTAAGTACGTCCAGTGCAGCATCGTTTGTTGAAACATCTCGGTGGGTATTCTGTCAATTCCTGGAGTCTTATTT